GTGTGTGTGTGTGTGTGTGTGTGTGTGTGTGTGTGTGTGTGTGTGTGTGTGTGTGTGTGTGTGTGTGTGTGTCCAATAAGAGATCATATCATCAAAAGATAACGTCTCTTTCCAGGAACACTATATAGCTGTGATTTAATTTGTCAAAGGCATTGATTCTCTAACTTTTTTCTTTATCCATTTACACAAAAAAAAGCATATTGAAAAGAATATTTGCCTAAATTGTTTTAGTCATCATCAACAATTAAATTAGGACTGTAGTTCACTTTTAGCAAAATGAATGTCATCACAAGCGCTTGAGCAAGCTACGCTGCTCAAAAAGTTTTTTACACTTAAAAAAGACTTGATTGTTACAGTTTAACACAAAGTTAGTTCAACTTCTTCTGTCCAGTTAGGATGCATTAATCACTGTGAATCCATATGATCGGCTTTGGTGCAAATGAACACAACAAGGGATGCACAGGAGAGGCGAGAAGGGAAAAAGGGAATGATTTTGCAGGTTGTGGCATAAATCATTGCTCTTCTCTTATCCCTCCTGACTGACTTTTCTCTAGTTTTGCTTTTTGCTAGTGTTCTTTCACTAGTGGTAGCATTAGATGGTACCTGCAGCCCATTCATGTTGCACAGGAACTCTACCTGCTTCAAGATGGCACATCCACATTAGCCATCCCAAGAAGGTCTGCTGTGTCTGCCAGCATATTCTCAAGTGTATGGAGGAGATCTGGGCCATTACATGAGGAGAGCTGGAAAAGACTACTGTGAGGCACAAATCAGCAGTCATATGAGTATCTGCTCCTTTGTGCAATGAGGAAAATGAGGAGCAATGCCACAGTTCTGCAAAATAACCTCCAGCTGGCTACTTTTATACATGTTTCTGACCAAACTGTCAAAAAACAGACTGCATAAACATGGAATGAAGTGCTGACATCCTTTAGTGGGACCTGTGCTCACGACCCAGGACCGTGCTACTCAACTGGCATTCACCAAGGATATGCCTTCCCAGAGCATTACTGATCCACTGCCAAACCGGTCATGCCAGATGATGCTACAGGCAGCAAAATATCTAAATATTCACCACTGCAATGACATCTCCACACGCTTAATGCTTCCTAACTTGATTAAGATGAATTGCTCTGAAGTTTAACCAACTTTAGGTTATACTATGGATAATTGAGTGCTCCTTTTTTAAGAGCAGTGTATTTTTTTTATTTTAATATTAATTCAACTTAATTTTATTACATACCTTCAACAGGTAACACACACTGTGCACTGGCTCTACAATACATTAGGAGGGACCTGCCATACAGTTTCACAACTACTCTAGAGGACACTGCTGCCAATAAGAGTTTAAAAAAAAGAACTTCCATCTTGTTGTAAATGCAGTTAAAAAGTGGCCAAAATGTGTTTAAATACTAGGTTAAAAGTTTGGCTTTGAAGACAAGACTAGAAACTCTTGTTTTCATGTCAAACCTTCGGGCCACTGAAAAAGAATTCAACAAAAAAAAACAAAAAAAAAACAAAAAAAAAACAGCCCTCACAACTGTGGGGCTTTAGTTTTCACTCATTCATAGCACTTAAATAAAAGTGAGATTTTGAGCTCCACTGCTCTTCACTGGGCCTTTAGGTCAGAACTTAAAACACTGTTACGAAACACCAACGTCGCACAGAATAAAATCAATGTAGCAATGGACACCCAAATGAAAACGCAGTATTGTGAAACACTTAAAGCAACTTACAATACGTTCTGTGAGGCGCCAAGCTGCAATAGTAGCTTTACAATAGATGAATGTCCATTCCTGACAGCATCGTGTAGTGGGGAGTCGTTCTCATACCCAGGCGTGTTCAAGAGGGCTCCCATTGAGACCAGTAGTTCCACAACTGCCAGATGACCCAGGTTACATGCTTCATGCTGAAACAAAGTAGTAAAGCTCAAAAGTTATACTGCTTCTTTTCGATCTGACAATATGCCTCAGATCTTACAGTGTAATAAAGCATTTTTTAAAACTGATACGAAATAAGTTTTGCTGAGTAATAACATCTGGGAAGTATGCATAAATATATCCTGCCCCAGTTTTCTGCTTTCTAAAATTAAGAAGATGGGTGCCTTAATGTTCGTCTGTTTTTAAGTCTTCGCCTTTGCAAAGGATTAATTTGACAAAGTTAAAGTTCAGCCTGAGAATTTCACCAGAAATGCAATTAAGACACACTCAAACAACTGCAGAGTGATTAAACACAGCATTATGCTTTAAATAACTTGAGCAGCTAATGCATTTATTAAGAAACTGGCTTTTTGTTCCAGTTTATTTTTATTTGGGTCAGGTAGTCTAAGCTATTAAGCCAAGGGCTGTGCAGTTATTTCTCCTCAATGACTGTAAAAATGATTTGCCACCTGAATGAGCAAATATTAAGAAGAATATGCCTCATCTATCATCATTTTAATCATCATCATCATCATCATCATGGACTAGAAATGAAAACATGCCTCTTATTTGTGACAACTGTTTCATGTATTGCTGGGACACTTCTAAGTTTTTTGTAGTACTGGCCATCTGGACAAATGTTTATTTTACACCCAGTTTGGAACCAAATCCATGGATTCATAAAGTGCATGCTGAAATTGGCTTCATTTTGTTTGTTCTAAACTTCACAAATACAGAGAGAAACATGTAACAAGCTGAAATGCTCTGGCTCTACAATTGGCTAGGTTAAAAACTACAATGGTGCTAACAGAGGTTTGGAAAAACACAATGGTAATGTCATGGTGGCTGTAGCATATCAAGGCTTATAGCTACCAACCTTCCCACATATATAAAAATACACACATTTGAATATTTCTAGCATTAAGTTTTCTGGTAGCAATTTGAATGATCAGCTGAGAACTGTCAAAACTCAAATTGAAAACTCAAGTTTGAGTGGAACATCTTGACATAAAGTGCTGCAATAAAGACGCAAACACACACTCAGTCTCGAGCAGCTGTCGAGGCGTTTCCAGCTTATCATGTGGCAGCAACTTGAGGTTAAACTGATAAAATAACATGCCTGTGATTGTTGCTGAGGAGGTACCACCACAAAAATAGCCCCTTGTGTCATCAGAACATATTACTTTTCAAAGAACTATATTCCTCTATCTTGAAGGATGAAAAAGTCAACCCTGGTAGAGGAACTAATGCAATATTGGCAGCAACAAAAGGTCTGCCACCCTGCCATTTGGAAGCTGGACCTATTCCTGAAGTCATGCAGGGCTTTACTTTCAAGTGTCGCATAGCTTCATCTTATATGCACACTAAAAACAAAAGAAATCTTCAGGTTAATGATATTTAAATTTCCAATTTAGTGACTGCACAATGTTTCACCAGATTTCAGAGTTTGACATAAAAAATAATAATAAAAATGAAACTTCTGCAAAAGTTCCTCCCCCCTTATTTAATCTTAATCAGAGTTTTGTTCCAGAGGCTGGTTGTCATGTTTGTGACTTTTGCAACCACATTCTCCTTACACTGGGCTGGTGTTTCCTGAAAGAAACAAATCCATAGAAGCTAAAAACTTTTCTTGTATTATGTTTGATTCAATTAATAAGCTATGCTTGTGCTGTTACTAGATTACTTGTAACCTTATCAGGTCTGCTTGTTTGTGACCGCATGCCAATTTGCACTGCTCTTGGTAGACTTCCGATCATTATTATTATAATGAACTCACTGTGCTTTTGATCATAAATTTATGCATTGTTTAACATCACCATCTGAAATTTCCACTCCTATCTGTGCTTTTCTCTGATTGCAAACTAGTGCCAATTTGCCCTGCTTAGTCAATCTGGCCCTTATTATGCCAGTCACACAAACAGTGCAGATGCTTACATTTTAAAAACAAACAGAAAATAGGGATAGCAAAAGAGGGACATTCATATAGTAGAAATATGAGTAACCAAGGAGGAAGAAATCCAAATATTTAGCTTTAATAACAATAATAATAATAAGTAGCAAACATTATAGAAGTAAAGTTAAAGTCTATACGAAAACCTATGTGGAAAAAGTCACTGTAGTGACGCCAATTATTTGTCATCAAAATAAGTTAAAAAAAACAAAAACAAAACACGATTGTGTATAAACAAATGCTACATTGCTGAAGAAACAGTGTAACAACAAATGAGACTAACAAATTCATCACCTACCAGAGGTGTCCACCCCGCATTATCTTTTAGATTGGGGTCAGCCCCCTGATCCAGAAGATCCTTGACAGCCTCTACATCTCCCTGCAAAGACCAAAAGATAATAACAAACCTGGGGTCAGAACTACAGAACTGTAAATGCAAACCTTTAAACACAGCAGCTGATCTCAGTAAACCAAAGCTCTCTGGTTTATCAATCACTCAACAGTGGGCCATTGATTGCTTTGTCTGGGATCCAGGGAAGGATTACAGCTATGTTTACAAGGATTACTATAAGACAGTTTAGTCTCAATAGAGTGGAATATGGCTGCCTGATCTAATACAGCCAAATATGTTCAACTCCACAGTAAGGGAGAATATTTAATTATATATCTGTAATTTTTTTTTTTTAAAGAAGAAAAAGGAATAAACAGGAAATGCCAGGTTTGCTCCTTGCACTCACTAATTTTCATGATTTTTATTTCTGCAAAATGTCCTAACCCAAGAACAGCATTACTGAGCTAAAATGAGTGAAATTATAATTGTTTACCATTTTAATATCTCATTTTTTAGGAACACTGTGCACAGATTTTATTCTTGCAGTCTCCTGCAGTTATTTTCACACCTAGAATATAACAGAAAATTGAGTAAATAAAGTGAATCATGCCAACACTTTATGACCTTGATTGCAGCTAGATGAAGCAGGGTCTCTCCCTTGTGGTTCCTCTTCATAACTGCAGGGCTTCCTGGACTGGACCGTCCAACAGATGCACCATTAAAACAGGAAGATCTCCTGTAACTTTCTGTGGAGGGGCTGGCTTGAACAGAGGGGCTGTCTCTGCCCTCTTTTCTGGACTTTTTGGTGCTCTTAGGGGTAGTCAGAGATGGAGGATTTAGCACAACTGGAGAGATCGGACTCAATGATTTTCTCCCCCTTCTGCCTGGAGAAGGTCTTGGTCTTTTTGGAGTGTTGTCCAAAGTGCTGTTTCTGTCTTCGGTCCTAGATCTTTTTGAGGAATGCTCGGAAGGAGACACGTTCTTGTGATTTTTGGGGTTATCATTTGGTTTGGGTACATCTGCAGACAGCTGGTCATGCTGAAAGGAACTTTCCGGCAAGGGTTGAACAAGTTCAGTTTGGCAATTCAGTACAGTCTCGCTGCCTTGTGAGAGACTCTCTCTCACCGTGCTCCTGGCAGGACTGAGTTTATCAGTGCTCCGCTGTGCCATCTCAGGCTGAGGCCCATCAGAAGTGACAACAGGGCTTAGGAATGAAACCCTTTTACTGGACCTTCTTGCTCCATCAGCACACACCTGCTCATTTTCAGAGAGATGAGCCTCTTCTGAGATGCCCCATTGCTGGTTTATGGCTTCCAACCTTTTCTTCTTCAGATTTTGCTTCGTCTGTTTTCGTGTGGTTCTGGTGGCTCCTTGCACCGGCACATTCCTGCTGGTAGCATTTTTCTTAGTTGACCTCTTCTTCCTGTCGTTTTTTGTTTCACCGTTGCATCTTTGAGAAGAAGAGGAGCCGGAGTCTTGGGAGGACGAAGTGAAATTGAAAACTGACAGGTCCTGGCATTGAGCAGTGAGGGTGTCTTGCTGTGCTGCAGATGTTTCTCCAGGAGACCTGTTGTCCGGTACGGTGATCTCTGCAGCCTTTTCGACTGTGCAGCGTACCTTGCGGCTGCGGGGACTGAACCAGATTTTAAAATTCTTCTTGTTGTTTTTAGGTACAGGGCCATCAGGCTGAATCTCAGCCACAGATGAGTCTACAATGAAGTATGAAAAGAAAAAAAACAAAGAAATATATGTGAAAACACAGTGCTAACAAAAATTATCACATGGAACTATTCAAGCTAATTAAGAATAATTTATATACTGAAATCTTGAAAGTTTAACATCGATCTTTGAGGAACTGTTCTTAATGTATAATTTGGGGTGGTTTGATGGTGACCTTTTTTCCATGCTTTCTTTTAATTGAACTTCAGTATTAGTTGCATTTCAAGGCTGGTCGTTTAGTGTGTTACAGTGGTTACATACGAGTACATAAACATATTAATGAATAAAAGGCTCAAGGTAAAATAGCAAACACTAACGCTACTGCTAATGGGATCCTAATAAAACGCAAGAAAGCAAAAGAAAAAAAAATAGCAGAAAAAAAATCCCTCATAAACAGAAACTGCACAGCTTATTAGGTGTAGTGAAATAATAATGCTAACATATGAAAGACGTATTGGAGCACCTCGTTTGCTTTCTACATCTTTAGTTGTTTTCGTGAACACTGACAACAACGTATAGATTTGTTCCCATATTAACTACATGGCTTTGAAAGCCCTTATGAAATTCTTTGAAGAAGAATTTCACAAGGGCTCAAAGCTGAGATCTACTTGCAAACTAAACACTAACATGGATAATTGCACTGCATAATTAGTGCAATTACGTGGATGCCAGATGGGCAATAAATATAATAAACCAAAGGAACAAGCCACTAACCCTGTCAATCACAGACCAGATTAGTGGAGAAAAATGTTTGAACATTTCAGTCAACAAGTGATAGAGGAGGGTGTGGAAGGATGAGCGTGGTGAACTGAACGAACCAAAACACATGGATTTCGAAAGATAAATTGTCAATTATGCTTCTAGCCTGCTATATTTTTATATATAGCTTCCCTCTACCTGGATTTTTAATAGGAGTGAGCAGGGACTCTAAGCCACAGAAGAGTTCTATGATGCTGCTGAGCTGCCTGTTGATTTGGATGTCCTTCACCCAGGCAGGGCTGTGACATACCACACAGCCATCTCCTGCACGTGGCCCAGCACAGGACCTGAGGAATAAATATACCCCATATTAGGAGTCCACACTACAGCTCAGTAAGAAGAATTACAGAATGGTTATTCCTTCACTTTTAAAGAACATCCAGTCATAAAAAGAAGAATCAAAATTCGGGCTGTTGTTTAAGCATGCAGACATTAATTCACTCAGTAGCCACTTTCACACATCCACTCCAGACAATTTCAGGGGAATTAGGTTGGGATATTGTCGACATTTCAACTTCCAACATGTACCACACAGAAAAAAAATGCCTGTTTGAGATGGACTGAAACTACTTGAAATACTTTTTGTGTTAGCATGAAGGAGGGAACACATTATGCCCACTCACCAGACTACTACCTGCATTGTTCGCACAGTGGCATAAACCATCATCGCATAGGTTTTTGTATTGGGCACCTGCCAGGTTAAAATGTGGAAAATCCAGCTGCTTTGGATATATGTGTTTTCTCCACTAACTCTAATTACTGATGTCTAAAACTTCAAGGCTACAGTGAATGTGTGAAAAGCACTATAGTATCTGAGAGGGGAGGCAAGACTATGCTCACATTGTAATCTGTGATGAAGGCAAAACATACTGCAGGTGTTAAAAATCATTTAGGTGTACCAAATGAAATTGACCCATTAGTCTTATTAGCTAAAGCTGTCTATTGGTGTCCTATTGGTGTTTAATTGGTTAGAATACACTTAAGTTCATACATTACCTGCACAGCATATGCTCACATAAACCTAAGCAAACAGGTTCCTTCATCAAATCTGAACTGGGGGAAAAAAAGAGAACAAAACAGACAGAAAAGAGGTTAGTTGGCCAACGGTTGTATACCCCCAAGACCCACAAATTAATTTAAAGTGGGATTAAAAAAAACGTAAGGCAAATTTGCATAAGTGCCTTTACAATAGCCTTATTAGGAATGCAGGGTGCTGCAATACTTTTTGAGCCAAATGTGTAAAATCTGAACTTTACAAGACCCTGAAACCCTTAACACAAAGTGCATTACCATCATAAAAACAAAAGCACATAGTCCTGGATGTTTAGCAACTTACACTCTGGGGCAGTCCGGGACCTTGCGATATGCAAAAATAATCACCCGAACTCCATCACAGCTACAAGCACAGTCAAATACAATTTTAAGCAGCACATCACTCTCTGTTTTTACTACGCTTTGTGCTGTTGTCTCTCACTTATTCGGCGCCAGATCGCTTAGCAAAACATGCCAGAGTGTTCATTGGCAGGTGCTGCAGGCGTTATCGCCGCTATACCGTAATTTGTTGTGCCAGAGTTACAGGTTTATTATCTGTGGTTTATTGTGATGGCACTGTTTACCAGATTATATTTTGGAAGCTTTCATCGTTGAAGTGCAGGCTGCGTGGTGTTTTCTCATTGCTGCACAGAGGTCTTCAACATTTCATGGCATTGCCGCACGTGTGTTAATTAAGGATGAATTGAAAGTGAGGTTTCAAATGAAAAGTTAACGATAATGGACAAGACTAGGGGCACGGTTAAGTTTCTTCCATGTTGCTTTGCATTTCTCTATAAGCATCAGGCCACTGTTCGACTAAACAAACATACCAAACTAACATTTACATATTTGTACCACTTTAAGTGTAAGACAACACTTCGTTACTTTTGCTGCTACCTAAACGCATAAAAAACCCAGTTTAGCCTGACTTCCAGTACTCGTAGACGACGCAGGGTTAGCTTGCCACTCTGTGCTGCACTTAACGTTTACATACCATTTGGAACAAAGTAGCAACCGTCGGAAGTTTGCCGCCGCCTCCTTAGTCTTCTTCCAGTCCACTGTTTGCACGGAACTGTGCTCATCCATTCTTAGAATAGGAGTGTTGCTCTTTTGTTGTTGTTTTATTAATCAAACAGCAAAAACAAGTACAACTTCCTGTCTTACATCTTACATCTCCCGCCAAATATTTACGGAAGCGAGCAAAGCGCATTGCCACAGTGGATTGGTCGACGGGCACCGGTGATGACGTAAACCCTGACGTAGGGGTTTTTGTTGTTTTTTTGAGAATCGGACGTGTGAAATGGACAGTGATAAATGAATACCAATAAATATGTTAAGACTGAACATTATTTTGTGGTATATCTATGGATAATATCTTATATACAGTGGATGATCTAAACTTCCCTATTTTGTTAGAGTGACAGTCCAACTTCTTTAATTTCTTCCTTCGGCTGCTTCCTTGTGGATCATCTGCCCCATCTCACCCTATGTGTACTACTTTCCTGTCACACCGAGCCTCTGTAAGTCCTCTTTCACAACATCCATGAATCTTCTCTCTGGTCTTTGTGTTTTCCTCCTGCCTGGCAGCTCTATATTCAACATCTTTTGTGCGATATATTCACATTCTCTACACATGTTCTGCCTTGCCTCTCTGACTTTTCTTCAACCTGCTGAACCTGAGCTGTCCCTCTGAAATACTCATTTCTAATATTGTCCCTCCTGCTCACTCCCAATGAATACCTTAAACTCTGCAACCTCCACCTCTGCCTCTTGTCTTTTCATTAAAGCCACCATCCCCAAACCATACATCACTTTTACTATTTTGTCAAACTTCCCTGTCATTCTTGTTTTTTGTCTTCGGTAACAAATCACCCCTGACACTCATCTCCACCTACTCCACCCTTCTTACACTCTCTTCTATACCTCTCTTGTGCATTGCCTATCACTTTGGATGGTTGACCCCAGGTATTTACACTCCCCTCACTACCTCTGTTCCTTGCAACTTCACCTCTACACCTGGGTTTCTCTCATTCACACCCATGTATTCTGTCTCAGTTCTACTAACTCTCATTCCTCTTTTCTTCAAAGTATACCTCCACCTCACTAGGCTCTCTTTCACCTGCTCCCTACTCTCACTATAGATCACATTGTCATGTGCAAACATTACTGTCCACAAAGAGTCCTGCCTCACCTCATCTGTCGACCTGTCCATCACCACTGCAGACAAGAAGGGTCTCAAGGGTGATCTCTGATGTAATCCCACCCCCACCTTTAACTCATCTCTCACTCCTACCACACACCTCACCACTGTGTCTCTGTCCTCATACATGTCCTTCACAACTTTCACATACACAATCTCTTCTACGCTTCTATACTTCTCTATCGACACTCTCAAAGCAAACATTGCATCTGTAGTGCTCTTTTTCGGCATGAAGGTGTACTGCTGCTCTTAACAGCTCGTTTGCATAGCTTCATGGTATGGCTCATCAACTTTATCCCTCTGTAGTTACTACAGCTCTGCACATCACTCTTGTTCTTGAAAATTGATACCAGTACACTTCCCTGTTCCTCTCTCCTACACACACATATATATATATATATATCTATATCTATATATATCTATATCTATATATATATACTAACTACCAGCTAATGTGTCAAAAATCTATATATTGTAAACTATTAAAATCTATGGATGAATTTTTGTGCATGTAATCAAAACAATAAATCAGAAAAAAACAGAGAAGCATTATCTTCTATCAGTTGTAAATTTCCCATCCTCTTTTTTTTGTATTTTTGTATTATCCATTTGTCTCTATATCTCTGAGACTAGTCATTAAGATTTTCTTTAGGCTATGCTAATATCCTACACTGAAAAAATGCAAAGAGCCTTCAAATAATCTTTGACCTAGACTCCTCTTTTGACTGGCATTTTAAACAGATCTTTAGGAATGATTTTTCTTCTGCAGATATGCTCAAAAAACACCAAGTCCTTGCAATTGTTATATCTGGGTTGGATTACTGTAATTCCTTATGATAGACTTTTCTTTTCCTAAAAGGTCCCAGAAGAGGCTTCAATTGATCCAAAACACTGCCACTAATGTGCCATCTAAGACTAGGATGAGGAAAAAAACCTGATTCATCCTGATTTGTATTTAAAATCTTTCTCCTCAGCACGAAGCCCTGAATGATCAGACTTTATATAGACCTCATTTACCACGGGACCACCATATTATTCCAACAGAGCACTTCATTCTCAAACTGCAGGCTTATTTGTGATTTGTAGTTTATGTAAGTAGAATGGGAGAAAGAGCCTTCAGATACCTGGCCCCTCTACTGTGGAACCAGATCCTAGTTCGGGCTTGGAAGACATTAACTCTTTCCGCTTATAAGATTAGCCTTTAACATTTGCTATTATAAGTGCAAGGTACTTGAGAGACTTTGTTTGATGCACCAAGTACATCTCCCCCACTCCCCTTTTTTTCAGTCCGTGTGCGTTTATATACCAGTACTGCATGTTATTAACTTTTGTCAAATTTTTCCTGAAACCTTTTTTTGTTGTTTCTGGTCTCCCCTTTCCCCTCACCAGCCACTGCAGTATGCTACCTCTTTCAACCCTTCCTTAGGTTTCTTCCTGTAAAAAGGACGGTCTTCCCCAGTGTCGCAAAGTGTTTGCTCATAGGGCATTATATGAATGTTAGGGTGTTTACCTTACAGCACAAAATAGCTGGTTATATGAAAATAACGGATGCTAAATAGATAGAACTGAACTGAATTAATTAGTAGAAATGCAATAATACATCTGCAATGTTTTTATAACTTATATTGACCACTGAAGCAAAATCAAAGATCTTAAATAGTCCCTGTGCAGAAAAATAGTAGAAGCATAAACAGTAGGCAAATGAACAGCAGCTGCACTTGAAAAATAGCTTTATTAAATTATAAAAAAATAGGCTTGATGCAGTTAATACCACATGGAGCAGGTCCATAGGCAAAAAAGTCTATTAAATATTCAGTACAGTCATTCCAGAAGTTACATATACCCTTGGAGAAAGTGTTAATGAGTGAGGGGAAAGTGCATATTAAGCTCTCAGTGTCAATATTTTCTTTTGTCAAATTTAAAATAGAATAGAATAGAATAGAATTCAACTTTATTGTCATTGCACATGCACAGGTACAGGGCAAAATTTCATCTCAGGAGCAGAATTATATATAGTTCACATAAAAAAATACATTACTTTTTGTTTGTGTTATATATTTATTAAGTGAGTATGTTATGATGTTGTATAGTGATGGTTTGCCACCAATGACCTTAATTAAAAATCATTCTAAATATTTTATTAGCTATGGTCTAATATTCTAGGTAAAGGTAGGTAGGTAAAAAGAACCCTAGCCACAGAGAGAAATTAACAGACTACATAATTAAAGTAAACATCATATATAATGTTACCTGAATGATTCAAAGTGAACATGCAAACAGTGTTATGTAGAAGAGTAATTATTCACTTCATCTACTCGTGTATGCAGACTGGCCATGTATTCTTATGCTTTTCATCAACAGTTTGATTTGGTAAGAAAAAAAGTGTAATTTAACCTTCATATTCACAGTCAAGTGACTAAAAAATAATATTCCTAAAAAGAACCCACAAACATTTAAGTCACATTTTCTACTATATTAAGGTCAGATTTAGTGTGAATGGACACACACTAAAGATGGCAGTCAGCTCTATGCTTGTACTTCATCTTCGGCGTCAATTGGTATGGTTTCCATGCCGATCTTTCCCATGGCGAAATTGATGAAGACCTGTGAAGGTTCAGCAATAATGTAAGAGCCATGTCAATATGAAAGGCAATTATTTTTCTCTGACCTGCTTAATTTTGGCTGGTCAGTTTCCCAACCCCCCCACCCCTCCTGTCCTGTCTTCTGCCTATAGTATGTTCCAATCCCCGAGCCTCAAAGGGGTAAAGTGGTTGAAGAGTATCAGCACTGGCTGCATATAAAGCTCTTGGATTCTCACCCTAACTCATATTCCATTTATTTTCCCTCAGGCCTCCCCTCTATCAGTTTCCCTCTGCCTCTTTTAAACTTTCTCTTTCTCTGTCTTTCACTCCCACTCAGCTTTCTTGTGTCCCTGCTTCTTTTCCCACCTCTCGTCTTCTCTCACTCCCCGTCGCTTTTTTCTGTCCCTTGCCACCATCAACCCACACCTACAAAAACCTCACACTAGTTCTTCCCCTCTCTCAGTTTATGTTGTCTCTTTTTTTTCTCACCTCATCCAGTGTGGTCTGGCTCACAGAGAAGTGCTTGATCTGCAGAGCAGTCTTGTTGGACTCCAGCTGGTCGAAGATGTCAGCCAAACCTCCAGGAGCAAATGGGACGTGGTACTCCACCACAGCCGAGTGCTGGTCCTGTGTGTTGGAAAAGGATGCCAAATGTGAGGTAAAAAGTTAAAAGAAAGTGCTCGTTCTTCTTTAACTGTAATTTGATTCTTGCACTTGTATGAAGAAAATAAAATCCTTCTTAATCTTACAATGCTGCAAACATTATTTTGGGGGTAGAAAATCTACTTTTTTTAAAAAAATACTGTATACGCACTGTACTTTTGATAAGGGCTCTGGGCACAGCAGGTTCTTATATAATGAGTTTCCTTCTATTCTTAGCTGAGCAAGTCAGCATTATAATGAAGAAAAGTCCACATGGGCAGCGAGGTATCAGACAAAGTTCATTTTTATAGATTCTTTAATGGTGCACTGATCATTATTATCATATTAACACTGATTCAAACGTGTACAGGGAACACGGTTAATCACAGTGACAAATACACAAAATGATCACCCAGCTCGGAAGGTAACCCCATGCTTAAATCACTGACTTAGCGCTTTCACGGGCAACAACTTTGCTGTTTTGGTTCACTCCCACATTCCCTCAAGAATTGGTGAAGAGTGAGGCAGACAGAAACATGACACCAAATTAGTGCTTATGCTGATTCATGTCTGCTGGATGTGTAAATAAGCAACTGTTTGCTAACACGTTTGCCTTAAACACTGACAAATATAGCCATATTTATATATCCATCTGTTATATATAATTATATACCAGAAACATAAACGATCTAAAAGACCTTGGAATACTGCCAGGATTTGTCACAATCACTGCATCTGTGGATTTATTATATTAGTTTGTTAGGCAAATAATAAAGGA